AATTTCCATACATTTTCTGGCAGGAAGGGACTTAACCCCCACACGAAACTTGTTAAATCTTAACAAGTTGTGCATTTGTAAATGAGTCCATTAGTGGTGAGAGGAAGTATTGTGTTTGTAATGTAGCTTCTCATTAGTCGCACATACACATTTTGCTACGTATTTGTCCGCTTGTGACAAAAAGATTTAACCGTCATAACTTTTCATTTCATTTGCAACCTTAGATTTGGATCTTGATGCCAAAAATATCACTTTCCCCTTCATTTACAGCCTTCTCAGTCACACCAGTTTAAATCATTAATACTGCAGGTTCGGGCTACATAGCTATTCTAAGGTTGTACAGGGATTATCGTGTAGCCTGTGTGTGCCTCTGACTCATGTGAATGTGTGAAAAACGTGTAACCAGTCAACTTTTTTTATTTCTTTTGTTTTAATCTTCAGGTCTGTGGAAACATAAAGGTGCTATATGAAAGTCTTTGCTACTCTTTATGGCTAGCATTCGTAGCTGTTTATTTACCAATCTGCTGATATTGCTGCAAGTTCATCATCAAACTTCATCCCTTTCCTTTGCGATGGAAAACACGACAGTCCAGACTCCTGTTTTGCTTTTGTTTCCTTTCTTTTATCGAAGTTAGCATGCTAACAGTCCAGAGGCAAATAACACTTATATATAGCACCTTTAAAATCCACCAAATAATTTCAGTACGATCTGAAAGATTTCCAGCTGATAGCATTGGCATAAGCCACGTAAACGTTCTTAGAATTGATCCTTTTTCTTTTTCTGTGGCCTCCAACGTTGTTCGCCAAAAGTGAGCAGCTTATGTCGTCCTGAGTGAAAGTCGTGCCATGTTTTGGTTCCCTGCAGGACAGATGCAGTGCCTTGTTAGGGTAAAATATCAATTATTCATTCATTGTTGAATCAGGGTTTATTTTCTGTGCGATCTTGGCAAAAAATGTTTTTTGGTGTTATGTTTTTTTTGTGTGTATCAAGTCAACATTGCACCTGGGTTGAAATCAAATCACGTACAGTCAAAATGACAAAAAGGTCAGCAGGATGTGTCTGACATTTAAGTCATTCATCATGAAATACAACATTTGAAACATTTCCAGGTGTTAATCTTAAAAGGTGTATGTCTTTGTGTTGGACACAGAAATGTCAAAATGCAAGTGAATTGACTCCAACCCTTATATAGTCAAAGTGCTTTTATCCAGCAACTTAACAATCAACCACAGCATTTGTTAACAATTGTTTATTTGTTGATACATTCTGGGTTTAAATAAAATGCAGGTTTGTACTTCTCAATTATTAATAGCCTCCGATATGCCCTTTTGTATCGCCCTTTCTTTGACAAAAATAAAAAGTTAACTATTTTCATTTGACTTATTTGCTTGTATTTCTGTAATACAAAAAGAAAAAACACCTATGTGTCACTGCAAATTGATAATTTTAGAAATTAAGGATTGACCCTAAAAGATTATCAAAGCTAGAAATAACTGGACAAAATGCATTTAAAGGTTTTTGCTCGTTGTCAGCAGTGTTTGTCACAGAGAACTGAATAGTATCACACCTATGCAGCTAGAGGGAGCTTTTTACTAAAGACAGAAAACATGCTGAGAAACCCTGCCAGTTGTTCATCAAAGAGTAAATGATCTGTATTTATTTATTGATGAATATTATAGGCAATTTGCCATTCACCCATTTACATTAACTCAGTGCATTTATGCACAGCACTTTCTCTATGACACATAAGTATCCTGCTCAAGGACACTTCAGCACGTGGATTGCGGGAGACTGGGATGAAACTGCTGACCTTCTGGTGGAATGTCCTTAGACAGAGGTGATATATTTAATAGGCTTTTGCATTACATCAATTGATTTTTTTTTTTCAGAGAGCATATTTGGGTCATAATTGTCAATTGGAACTAAATCTTGTTCAGTTGAGTGTCCTGGGTAAGAGCTAATATAAGCATTAGGATCGTCTTAGAGTCTTACGCTCAATTAAATGTTTGCTGGAATCGTTTGGACCTCACTATTTACCTAATGAATATGTGATATCTGTTTTATTCCTAATTTTTTCCCCCCAAAGAATAGAAATGACATGGCCAACATTGTAACTTTATAATGTCTAATTCTGTAGTAAAATTGTTTTAAGTAAAGTTTTTAAGCAACTTAACAGGTAACTTTATATTTGAGACAAACCGTGTTGCACATGTATGATTTAATAATTGTTGAATCCATTGTTCCTGGACTTTGACTTGCAGCTGTGGGTCACAGAAGAAAAATGTCCGTTCAGGATCACAAGCCAATAAGTTATGTATGTGTGGGTGGTTCCTATCAGTCATTAACTGTCACTTTTCCAGAGAAGGGCGTGTGACTGATCATAAAAGTAGAAACTCAAATGATTTCCTTTTAAATTCCAATGTTGTTAATCCTTCACTCCGTCACCTGCAGTGGTGAATTCATGAGTTCATATCCTCTATTGAAAAGTGTGTAGCAAGATAAGACATGTTTCTCTTGACATTTGATTCATCAGATCCTGATCATGTTGAACATTATTATTATAATTTCCATCATCATTATTGAGTCATTATATCCGCAGGGAAAGTGACAGACAGCATAAATTGTGAAAGTAACTTTGCAGCAGTATTATCTGCATCACATACAAGAAAATAAAGTTGATGGTCTGTGTTTATATAGAACTTTTCTAGTTTTAATAATCACTCAAAGCACTTCACAGCACAGTTTTGCTATTCACCCAATCACACACATTCACATATCTGTGCGCATCATAAATAACTCACTAACTGCCAATACAACCATCAGGGGCAACTTGGCGTTCAGTATCTTTGTCAATGACATTGAAAGATTTGTAAAGTATAACATCATGGCCAGTGACCATCGTTTGGCAAACAACCACTTCTTGCACAAACCTAAATGTAAAACTACTACTACTGATCTGTGTTGAAACTGCTCTGTGGTGTCTTTAGAGGATTTGATTAGTTGTTCAATAAGCTTTGAATTATTACATGTTATTGGTTCATGTTATATTAAAAATGTAATAAATGCTGTATTTTTGACATTAGTGTCAAAACTATTTCCCAGCACCAATGGACACATTACAATATATCAAAAATAAACACTTGAAAAGTAAAACTAAGCATTCAATCTGATTAAACACCTATCAATACAACATATCTAACACAAGAACAGTTAAACAGAAAGAAACCTGCTGTTGCTCAATAAGCTTGGCTCGATGACTGTAAAAAAAATGGGGAAGCCTTTTCACTGCAGAGGGCAGGATATGTAAAGGTGGCAGACAGAGATGTTTATCAGTCGAGAGGCGGAACATGCTTCTCATTCCTTCAGACGCTCGCAACTCACAGCTGTCAAACCATGGACTGCATACAGCAGACAAACATCGGTGGTGAGTTCAAGCTGTGGCAGATTTCAAGCTTTTTTTGCTTTAGACATGCATGCATGCTTAAAAAACTCAGTAATCTAATTTCTGTTTTCTACGAAGCCTAGAGAGAAGTCAAACATGATGACATCTATCAGAATCATCATTGGAATGTGACTTACTGTTCTTACAAAATTATGTGACATGTGGCAGGACAGTTTTTCACTTACACTTATTTACTTGAGTATTTTTCTGTCACTGAATGTCATATTGTTTTACCTTTATTTCCAAAACTCCTGTCTCTCCTTCTTTCCTTCTACAGTCTTTACATCAACGCTATCACAATACCTGATCTGGTTTTTTTTCCAGGCACTAACGATGGCCACTGTCAACTGAGGTTAGTCGACTTTGAGGGTCACATAAACCACATTTCCCATGAGACTCTGGGGCTGAGCAGAAAACACCTGGTGGTGCGACGAGGGAAACCGTTCAAGCTGACTCTGCGGTTCCATGGCCGGTCATGGAATCCTCACAGCGAGGGCCTGGTCCTGGAGGTCTGGCTAGGTAATAACCATCCTCCCTCAGTCCAGTGCACTCTGGACTGTTGTTTCTCCAACTTTAGACTGGATTTAAGCCTCAGTCAATTTGTACCTGTTCACAAGGACACACAGTGAGTACAGTCTGCACTTTGGAAGGTGTTTGTAAAAAATCTCATTTTTATTCGGATGAGAGGCCCGGACACAGAGGAAAAAGTTTGTTTTGCAAAATATCCACATTAGTGTAGAAAGGGTCTCAGGCTGCATTCGGTCCAAATAATCTCCTTCCCTAACCACTGTTCATTGACCCTGATGGAAAACATCATGAGGTAAAGGAAATATGTGAAGGAGAAGCTGCAAGGAGTTAGGAAAGAAGAACGCAGTGGGGAGAAAATCAGACTCCACGTACACTCTCCGTTTTTGTACTCACAAACAGTTATAGTGACGTTTCCTGTCCAAAACAGAATGACACGTTCCTGAGAAAAGATGATTTCAGTTCATACAGATGGAACATTTAACCATCAGTTACTCACAGAGACAATAATTCAAATGGAAATTAAACAAACAAACAAGACTGAAATGTTGAAATAATACTTTAACATGAGGAATTTATGTGGAGAAAACTGTTCTGGATCTTCTCATGGAAATAAAACAGCTGTTCTGTCTTTTTTCATATTAAGGTGGATCTGCCAAAGGTGCATCTACAGGGCTGCGTCACTCTGAATGTTGCTAGTGCAGTAAAATTGTCAGACAGCATTTTTTTCCTCTCCGTTGACAAAAGGATTACCAATATCTCGTCTGATAGAGGAGATAAGCTTCCTTTCCTTTTCCTTTAGAGAATTCAAACAGCTCTTACAATAGCGGCGGCTGAAAGAATGAAGTTACTGGTTCCTCCGCAAAATGGACTATTTGATTACTCCCAAAGTCGTCAAGTCACCTGAGGGCCCCGGGGTTCCTGAAGACATTAACGATGACTCTAACTTCATTATCGATACCTGTGCTTCTCCTTCTGTCACATTTCAAAATGTCCCTGTACAGTTTTACAATCAGTCCTGAGTGCACTGAATTTAGAAATTGTGTTTTTTGTGAATGGGAATATGTGTTATTTCATCATTCAAATGTTGCATCATTCTGCTTTGACTAACTTCTCCTTCACCATGCAGGAAGTCTGTCAGAGAGAATCCCAGTCCAGTTCTCTGACACGCAGCCCAACCCCCAGCACTGGTCAGCCAATATCCACCCAGGCAGCGTGCACTCCGAGTCAGTCACCATATACATCTGCTCTCCTGTCCGATCCTCCGTGGCCCTGTATAACCTCCTGTTGCACAAAGAGACCAGACAGAGCAGGAGTACCTACGCAGTTGGATCATTTGTGCTGCTGTGCAACCCCTGGCTGAAAGGTGGGTCCATGAAGGAAAACTTGTAATTGTTTTATGCTCCTGTTGGTTGGTTTGTTTGTGAACAGGATTACACAAAAACAACCAGACAGATTTGCATGAAACTTGGTGGAAGGGTGTGGCATGAGTCAGGGAAGAACCCATTCAGTTTTGCCGAGTGAGTGTTTTCACCATTTGCTTTTCAGATGATCCAGTGTACATGCCCCAGGAGGACCAACGACAAGAGTATATCAAGAGCGATTATGGCGTAGTGTTCATGGGCACCAATCTAAATGTTTGTCAGCGTCCGTGGTCGTTTGGTCAGGTATGTAACGATCAGCAACTATCATGAATGGATTGTGTATAATCACATCAGGTAAAAATGCAGCAGGCCTCAGCTTGTTTTTCACCATGTGCAGTATGAGCCTGGAGTCCTGGAAGCATGTCTGAAGCTGCTGGAGGTCAGCCCTCAGCACCTCAACGACAAAACCAGGGATTACATTCTGCGAGCAGACCCTGCTTACCTCAGCAGGGTGGTCTGTGCCATGGTAAGAGACAGCACTCACAAAATCATGGGCGATAAAAGTGCACAAACTCTTCCTCTCTTGCCAAATCTGTGACTAATGTTATCAAGGACATAACTGCAGTGGAGAGAAGGGTCACGTGTTTCCTCCTGTTCCAGGTGAACTGTAATGATGACCTGGGTATTCTGCTGGGGAAGTGGCAGGGCAGCTACGAAAGTGGTGTTAATCCTACAGAGTGGAGCGGCAGTGCTGACATCCTGCGTCGCTGGGTCTCATCCAACTTTAGCCCAGTACGCTACGGACAGTGCTGGGTCTTTGCATCTGTCCTCTGCACAGGTACTGTGAGCAACTGAATCATTTAAAGTATAGGCTTCAATCATCTTTAGTGATAGTTATATCTACCTTATATTATTATATGGTTTTATTCCAGTTATTAGTCACTCATCCATCAAGAGGATTAACCCTTAGGATGATTATATGAATAGTTAAAGAGGAGCTTTAAAATAATGTGTACCTAATTTAATTACACTGAATCAACTGGCATCTGTATTTGTGTTGTCCAGGTTAATAAGTTTTCTTGCTATAATTACAACTTATGACTTAATATATATATTTTTTTTTTATTAATTGATTTTTTTATACTTTCAGAAATGTGTAATAACAACAACTCAAATAATATGTAAAGTGAATGTGGCATAATGGAATTTGAAAACCTTACAGTACATTTAAAACAGAACGTTTTTGTTAGGGAACCTGTAGAGAGGGGCTAATGAGATGAAGATGTCAAGTTGCATTATGGGAATTGTGGGATAAAGTGATCATTCCATTTTTGAATTCCCTCTCTTGATATTCACATCGTACAATCTTATTCATAATGCAATATTTGTCTTTTTATGTTTGCTACCTTTTTATAGGAGACATAATGACATTGTGTTAGTCAGTGATGGAAAAGGTCAAAGAAAGTCAGTACTCAGTTTTACATATGCTTAAAGTATAAAAGTATAAGTATTACTATTCCCTCATGCAACACTCTACATTGTTACAGCAGAGTCTTGGCCTGTACACATTTAACGCAATGCTTTGAAAAATTGAAGTGGTAGATATTTGTTGATATATGTGGTGGAATATAAGTGAAAAGTATCTGACAATAAATCTACTTAAGTAAAGAACAGATACATGATAAATGTAACAAAGTCAATGTTACATCCCAGCTCTGGTGTTAGTTCAGTTTATTCAAAATGTGAATTGGATCACATTTGGTCTTTTACCAAAGGGGCACATTTTTCACATTACAATAGATAAACAAATTATTAGTTTATAATGGATTATCTAAATATAGTAACCACCTGCATGACTGGATACTATTAGAAGTAGAAATGATTTACTCAATATGTCTGACGTCCTTTATATTTATACTAAGATGGGTTTAGTTTGTTTTTTTCACGATTTATGTTTTTGTTTTTTTCAGTAATGAGAGTGCTGGGGATTCCCTCCAGGGTGGTGACGGTCTTTAACGCAGCTCATGACACTGATGCCAACAGCTCTATTGAAGAGTTTTACTCGAGCACAGGGGAGAAGCTCAACATGTCCAAGGACAGCATCTGGTCGGTGTCACTATCTCAGAAGATGATATTTGAATTTCTCATCAGTGTGGTCTCACAATTTACACTCAAAGTAAAATTTGAAGCAGCAAATGTATTTTTTACTACAATTCAGCACAGCATTGACTGTTGTGCCCTTAACTTAATGAACATGTGAATCAGTAGAAGAGTAGGTATCATTTGTGATCATCTATTTCATTCATTTCACTTCATACTGATTTTCTGTGTGTGTGTGTGTGTGTGTGTGTGTGTG